GTGTGAGGTGGCATCTGGCTGATGACTTTCGGATTTGAATTTCAGCATTCTTTGTATTCATAAATTGCCCAATATATGCAGGGTCTAGCTGATAGTTGTTTTCCAGTCAAACAGGGTCCAGCAGCAAGCCGTCTTCACGGTAAGTTTATATCTACATTTATCATAACAACAGAAAGCTGTAACAAGCTTATTTTTCAAAATTATCAACTTATAGTATTGCTTTCTTGATGATTAATACGGCAGAGTTCTTCTTGCGACAATTCTGTGATGCCCACACTTGTACTGGACGTCAAAAGCCCTTCTCTCAAGGCCGCAGGAAGGTAAAGTTCACTTTGGGTGGTATACACTTACACTAAATCATCCTAAATCTTTCAGTATAAAACCTGAACCTGTTATGCTGTTTCTTGGTTATGCCCGTATGATGTTTTGTTGAACTTGTCCTCCTCCTTTATGTGTCAAATGTGCAGAAGAGGGCGAGTATATCCTACCTTGTTATTTCCATTCTGACTCTGGCGTTGCTCTTCCTTTTCTACTCTTACATTTACATGTACAGCAGGTATCTACATTCATACTCCCCATTTTGCCAGACTTTGGCCGCTTTTCTATTGATTTCACAACGGTAATTGTATATTTTTTACTTCTGTGTCAGGGGAGTGAAAAGAGGAACTCAAGAACTGAAGCGTGTCACACCAATCGGAAGGAAGAAAAAACCGTCCTAGTTACAACTTTTCATTGCAAAGCAACAGAGGGAGAGAGAGACTATGCAGTCTATCGTAGTCACAAAATGTAAAAGCTGTGCTCTTCCATTTGCTTTGTAATTTGTATTTTGATCATTTCACTGTAGATGAAGAACAACATTTTTTGGCAATGCGAAGGCAAAATTTGATGTATCGAAAGTTACAAGGATTCTGTTTATTGTACATCAATGCCTATGATTTGTTCGCTCCATTTTGCTTGAACGTCTTGGTGTTTTTCAAGGGCCTTCTCTTTTGGTTTTCGGCCATGTCGATGTCAACATCGTTCGAAGTAGAGTTTGAGAGAGAGAGAGAGAGTTCGAGAGAGAGAGAAGCTTATAATGCTTTTCTTCAACAAATAAATTCTTTTCAATCCGCTCAAACATGGCACAAAGATTCGACGTATAGCCAGGCCAACTAGTTTACATGTACATTGTAATTGCATTAGATTACAGTGCAAGCAAACAAACAATAAATGGCAATGACGTTCAATGCAGCTCCTCCGTAAGCCTTTAGGTCCATGCAATGAACTCGAAACTAAAGTGTGCCCCATATTATCCGGCCATGCTCCGGTTACAGACAAAGGCTGGAAAGGTTGATTGGTGGTCATCGTTTGAAATCAAGAGCAATGGAACAGAAGCCTGAATCATTTTCTTCTAGGTGGATCGCGCCTGAGCCCGTACTTGTTGAGCGTTTTGATATAATTTCTCATGAGGCTGAATTTGTTGCTTCCCAAGTGATACAAGTAATCCCACGAATAGATTCCGGTGTTGTGTAAGTCATCGAAAACAATCCTGAAACATTCACTCCAGCCATTACAGTCACAACATAACATTTCCGATGTACAAATTGTTTGCAACCCCCATTAAATCCGGAGTGTAAAAGTACCTTACCCCATAGTTTCCTACAGGTTCCGCAGACATGATTCCGACGTGACGCCGCCCAGATATCACCTGCATTAATCGACAGATGTGAAGAAAACAAGGTTACAATATCAACATGTTGGCGCAGCACTGAGCATCCAAATAACATGTCAAAGATAGTTGTGGAGATAACAAGATGGTGAAAACATATTCAATTGAAGACGAATGGACAGTAAACCATACGGAGAATAACTTAGATGGAACGGATTCACTGTCACTGTGGTGTCTTGGACTACTAATACAATACCACGTGGAGAGAGTCCTTGCATTAGTGGCTTGGGATTAGTATCTTATTGGGTTCTTAAGTGGTGAATCGACGTGTTAACGGATTTATAACGGGGTGATCCGTTAATGACCCGACTCATTAACATGTTGATGCGGAACTATTATTTTTGTGTCGTTTCATGTCAGGTTAATTAGTCGTGCAAAAAATTGCAATGTGATGATAACAAAAGGGTTTAAAATTTGATTTGAGAATTGGGAATTATTACCTTTTCACCAGCAATTGACCTAATCTTGGCATCAACAGCTGGGCTGTGGATTCTCAGAAACTCAGCTGACAAATTGAAAACATTTCCATTTCCAAACTCCACCTCTACCTGAAACCAAACCAAAATTCCGAAATACCATTTTTCAGATTCAAAAACACCGTTTTCAGAAACATCAACAATATGATTCAAATCCAATTACAAAAACCACCGGCGGAGATCAAAAGCTTGAAGCGTACACATTTGGGCGCGTGGAGGGAGAATCTGGTGAGCCTCGGAGCATTTGCGGTGCCGTGGAACCTCCGAATCGCTGTTTGAATCGCTGACATGCTCTTCTTCTTTGGATTTGCTTCTGGCAAATTGGTTCGCAGAGGACGAGTTTGGGTTTGACTCTAAACTTCTCTCTGACCGGGCCTAACTCAGTTACGGGCTTATTGGGCTTTGTTCAGTTGTAGGCCTTTTGGTTCATCATGAGATTTTTTTTTTAATTTTATTATAAGACATATGATTGGAGAGAGATTCAAACTCAGGAGCCGAAAATTCATCATAAGAATTGAGGGAGAGAAAGTGACACACCCTGACCCGGAATGTCTATTAGAACTCTGAATCAAGCTATGCTGGCTTCGTCACCTTCCCAGAAACAAAACCATGAGGACGTGGTCGGTGCCCAAAGCGGACAATATCATGCTACGGTGGAGTCGAGCTCAAGATGTGGTGGGGGGCCAGGTCGAGATGGGAGAGAAAGATTGAAAATAAAAATACTCATTCTCTTTTACGAATTTAGACCCCAAATTGAATATTCATTGTTGAACCTTGTGAGCGTTGATCGGTTATTTATAAAATCATGTAGGTCAGACTATACTAATAAAATAACCAATAAGTGAAAAAAATAAAGAAATATTTGGGTCATCATTAAAATAATATATATATATATATAATTTGACTTTACCTTCAAATTTGGCAGTAAAGTGGATGACATCAATGTCAATCCAGTAAGATTTTGGCATCTCCTTTGGAATTAGAAAATCACCTTTTTTTTTTTGGTCAAAACATCCACGTAAGATTTTTAACATCTCAGTTAGAGATGCTCTAAAAAATCGTATTAAAGAGTGTTAAAATCACTAGCTTGTAGTATGATTATCTATTGTCGTTTAGATCCAAGGTATTATACGAGAAGGTAATTAAAAGGAAAGGAAAAAGAGAGAGGAATCATATAAGTGCCAAACATTTAGTTACAAACTTAGCTTTCTAATTGTTGCTCTGTCCCTTTAAAAGATAAATAAATAGCTATTTAAGTATTAAAATTTGAAACCACAAAGCTAGAAGAATAAAGACAACAACAAAACAAACCTAGACTAGAAAGAAGCATAAAGAATCTGATCAGCCAGCCTCCTTGTATGCCCCTTATACCAACTTGAAAAAGAAATACTTAATATATATGTCCCATACACCAATTTATCAATGCTTTAGGTTGTGTGATTGTATAAAAAGGGCAACTTCAAGTAACAAGGCTCCTCGTATTGCGAGGGCCGTGGCATAAACATTTATTATACACTAATCTTACTATTGGTTTGCCAAATGGTTGTTTTCATGACTCGAATCAATGATCTTTCGATATAAAAGAGCAAACTTTATGTTGCATCAAAACTCATTCTCTTGGTTGTGATTGTATATTTATTATAAAAAAATATTTATATTCTCAATTTAGTTGTACTTATACTATACTGAGAATCGAAGATGATGATGTTAGTGGCTTAATAAAATACAAAACTTTTTTCGGCTTTTTGGCTAAAGCTTAATGAAATATATGTGTGAAATCATGACGCAAACCACATACATACATGGACCATTTTACAATCGAATTAAGTTTTTAATTCGTTGCAGGGGAATTTACACGAAAGAAAACAAGGAATTCTCAACAAAAAAAGTATTCTCTAAATCAAACCTCGATAACCCTAACAACCAAGTTAATACATGCTAATTTATACTGAGTAATAGGGTCAGCTGATTAACTAAAGCCAACAAGTATTCTCTCCAACTTCCTTTGATTATTATACTAAAATACAGATTAGTAATTTAGTATACATTAATTTGCATTGAACACATACTGAATTATAATATATATATATATATATATGTATGTATGTATCTGTGCGCGCGATGAATATTACTGAATAGCGTCGGCAGTGGCTTCAGATGATTCTCCTTTTTTTGTTGGGAGGTGATATCGTGAGATTCCACGTGGGGCTCATTGAGCAGTTTGCAAGCACAATTCATGCACGTAATTAAGTAAAAAAACCTTCTATATATGAAGCTCAAAAACAAAAAAGAGTTATTTACGCTTTTAAAATATCATAACGCATGTATCTTTCAAACGCTATTTTTGCTCTTATTTTAAATGTTTAAAATGTATATAACTTTATCAAAGTACTAATAATAACTCCCTCTCTCTTTGTATATATAGGCAGGGAGCTACTCCACTTAATCCTCAGTGCTTGGCACGACCTAAAAAATTAGCAATTGCTTGCTCTAGCTTCTTATATATTATTAATTCAAGATAAAGCTGTGAAAAAGTAATAATGTTAACCTCGGGGGCATTGTTTGCTTCCAATTATTCATATTCTAATTGAAGATGAAAGAGAACTCTATCTCAACAAATATTTATAACTAAGTTGACTAAGACAGTACGTCTGCACCCAAATCGATCTCCTCTTCATAATTTAAATTAGAATATCGATCACAATTACAAACTATATATAAAGACACATTAAATTGACATATCATCTGATTTAATTGTTGCAACAATTTTGTAGCTTGAAGTGATCATAAATAATGTTCATCTAAGGCTATTTCGATCAAAAATAGAAAAGGTCTTGTCCGAAAGTATTGAAGCCATCCCATGAGAGCATGGAATCCACACTATCAACCCACTGTTGAAGACAATTTTCCTGCATGGTTTCCCCTATCGAAATAGAAGCGTTGTTAGAATTTTCCACCGAAAACGAGGTACTATACGAATTAGACATGCTGCTGGTGTTGGGAAATCCTTGGTTCAACATCAATGTTCCCAAATCCAAGCTTCCACAAAAAACTTCATAGTTTTCAAGATATCATTCGCGTCATCCAACGTGGTTAACCTGAACCTCATTTCTCGATTTCTCATCGGATTCTGGAAACCCTTTGTTTCCATTACTATCTTCCAGTAGCTTAGCCTCCAAGCCAGTGCCTCGTGACTCTTCTAGTCCTTCTTCTGATGATGAAGAAGTAATGTTTGAGTGTTGAGTAATTGTCTCTTTATTTTCTTCAACATTTTCTTTTTCCTCAATTGGTTTGTGGGTCAAAGGGTCTACGCCAAGGTGCTTCAACCTCTTCTTGATTCTGGTATTCCAGTGGTTTTTGATTTCGTTATCTGTCCGGCCAGGAAAATGTGAAGCAATCTTAGACCACCTGCACACAGAAATATTAAAAATACCAGCTCTAACAGTTAGTACGTACATATGCCATGACATTGATGTCAAAATTTCGGAGATGAGCGGCTTACTACTAATCAGACTAATTTCAGATAAGCAAACGGAGGGTTAAAGCAGGTAAATTGTACCTGTTACCAAGACATGAATGGAGTTGAATCATTTGATTCTCTTCAGCTTCAGTAAAACCACCTCGCTTAAGGTCCGGCCTTAGATAATTGATCCATCTTAATCTACAGCTTTTCCCACATCTCAGCAACCCTAGATCACCATACAAATTATCGATGATGAGGATCGAGATAGCGCAAGGGATGAAGGGAAAGGAAATCTACATGATCATGATCAAAATGTAAATTAAATAGTAGTATATATATACCTGCAAGTTTAGGTACCATTCTCCAGCAATGGATACCATTGTTGAGAATAAAATTCATGAGCTTGTGATCTTCCTCGATCGTCCACGGTCCTCGTTTCAATCCGACCTTGTCACAACAAGGTTGCCTTCCCATTGTCACAAACTCGATTTCCCTAGTATTGTCGAGGAACCTCGAAGAAAAAGAAAACTCAACCGAGCTGCAAAAGTGAGAGAGCCTGAATTCCTAAGTGGACAGTAAAGTGGGAGGGCTAGCTTAAAAGGGGAGCCTTATAATCCAAGCAAAGATGCTTTGCCAGTTCATTCCGTCATTAAAAAATCAGAACGTTGTTGTTTGAGAGGGGAGATAAATGATTGAATTGGAGAAAATCATTTCAGTCTAAATAGATATAAAAATGACACCACCCCAAAATCGAACAAAGTCGTGAGAAAATTAAAGAGGAAAAAAACAGACGTGGGTCGCCTTCATTCAATTCAAATGTTTATTTTTTTAATTTTAACAACTTAAGTCTCTCTCTCTCTCTCTCTGTGACATTGGCTTTAATCTATGTGAAGCCAAAAAATAATGAGATTGAAAGGTTCCTTGTTGCTCGAGGGCTGGCCACTTTTGTCGTTGGAAACAACTCTTTTGTTTAATTTTACGAAGTCTAGAGAGAGAGAGAGAGAGAGAGAGAGAGAGAGAGAAGTATCATAAAAATTCCAAACATGAATCAACTAAAGTTGGCTACATGACATGACAAGGTTAGTTTTGATCAGAACAAATCGTTTCTTCTTTGAATTTCTCATCTTATATTTAGAAAGATACGATTCTAGCTCATCAATATTAACATTTTCATTTCTCTTTTCACTAAATTTTTTTTATTATTAATTTTCTGCTTCGTTCTTTTTGTAGACAAAATCTAGGGTTTTTTTACTTGTGTGCATAAACTTTTCTTTTTTACTATTTTAATGAGATACTTTTGTATATATGTCAAACTATGATTTGCAGTTAAAAATACTTTGTTTTCTTATCCCATTTGAGGTTGTCAATACATGCACAAATTAGCTTGTGTTAGCAAGCAAAATCATGCATGCTAGAAATCCGATGAGTCTTCATCTACAATGCTTTGCATGCTACAAATTACTAATGAGTTTGTGAACAATGATACCCTTTTTTTCTCTTTCCGTTTTACTCTTTTTTCTTGCAAAGCATGTCTATGAAGACGATCTGAGCAAAAAAAAAAAAAAAAAAAAAAAAGGAAAGGAAAAAAGAAAAGGTAAAAAAAGGTATGAAAAAACACGATGGGGTAACCATAATTTCCATAATTCCTAGACAGCAGGTTCACTTATGTTAGGGTCGCTTATGTTCGATGATTTGAGTACAAACCCTACCAATATGATGTGCTCCATACACATTTTGCTCTCTCTTTTGTTTTTGCTGATATACTAAACTACTTTTATGCACAAACACGATTACACGGACGAACTGGCCTAGAGTACATAGACTATTCTTATGTCGATTTTATGCGCAAAATCTTTAAAACTTCAAAAAAATGAGCTGTTATAGGGGAGGGAATATGGTTTTGGACGAATTTGAAGAACATATAAACTTTGGTGGAATTCAGAAGATGTCTGTGTACATACAAAAGTATGAATTTGAAACAATGGCGCTGAATTAAATACGTTACAATTCACTTCCAGTTGACAATCCTTTAGCATATAATATTGAATAATATTATTTACCACATGCTAAGCAATATATATGGTTTTTAAATTGGGTTCATGCACAGGAATATTCCCCATGATCTTTTTGGAGATGCAGAGTCATCAGAAACATAAACATTTTGGGGCTGCGGGGCCGACGTCTGAGGCGTGGAAACATTATCTTGGTGTTCCAAGCATGACTATTCGTGATTGTCAAAGATCATATCGCATATTACAACGGGGGTGTTGATCTCATATCGAAGAAGAGAGGATTTTGCATGTGTTTATAAGTAACTGGTTAATTCTTTATATGTTAATTAGTTTTATGGTAGAACCTCAAGTTTTTTCAAGGTATCAGAGCACGTTAATTGTGTGAAGCCGAACAGTCACACGTGTTTCACATCAACCGATTTGTGTTTCCATGTGTTGTCCACGTGTTAAGCTTAAAAACTTGCCACGCGTGAGATATGTGTTGAGAATATTAATTCCACAATGGACCTTGCGTGTTCTAATATAAGTAATTGAGTTACTTCTATGTAGCCAACTAATTTGATATTGGAACCTCCATTTTCTTCAAGAAGTGTGTAAAAGATTAAAAAAAAAAAAAAAAAAAAAAACGTGTATGAATAGCATCGAACTGCAAATAATAATAGGGTTAGTTACCAAAACTTGAAAAAACAAAATACAAAGAACAAAGAAAAAGAAGGGGAAAAAGCCCTAGAGTTGCTTTATTTAAATGTTGCAGGTACACACCTGCACGTCGACATTCCATGCCAAGGCCCTAGAGGTGCATGCAACTTTGAACTTCCCCAAATGGCACACAGCCTTTTGAAAAGAGTTGTGTTCATGTCTTGAGAATCTTTATACAACCTTATACCAACATTATAGAATTGCCTTGAGAAAATTTATCGTATCACTGCGTTGCATATGTTCATGTTTTTTTTCTTTCTCTCGCTCGTTATATGACTACAACTGAGAGTCGAGAATGTCTATACAACCCTATATTTCCATATATATCTTCTTAGTTTTTCTAATATGAAGTAGAGGTTTGGATGGACAAATCGGAGTCCATGACATCGTTGTAGGCGAAAGAAGTCAAGAACAAAGATCTAGTAGCTGGTGACAAAACTGACGTCCAGTTAGAAGGCATCATCAAGTAGCAACCCTAGCTGCAAGAAAATAATATAAGTTGTGCCTTACGTTAAGTGGTCACCAACACCTAACAAGTAGTTCAAGTTGGCCCATTGGTGCTTTTGCTTTTGGTGCTGACAAAAAGATGAAAACAAATTTTAATCTTAATTAGCAAGTAAAAAAAGTGATTAAGAAAAAGACCAATGTGTCCAATTAGGGTGGTGGAATTAATGTTGAGAAAGACTAAAAAGGTATCTTTTAATCGTAAGAAGAAGAAGGATAAGAATGACGAATGTTTGTCGGGGTATATACAAATACAACCAAGCTCTAAGACGATGCTTGTTTTGTTTCTACAGAAGAAATGCACACCTGCAGACAAAAAATCTCAAAGACAACTACGTAAATATATGATGATGAGTTAAAAGATCAATTGTTTCTTGAGAATTTAGCATCTTGTTTAGGTACAACTAACGTCCTTGTCACTAGTTACCTTCAAGTCTTGCCATTTTCATCATAGTTAAATACTGAATCTTTTACAAGAAGAATGCAAACATCAGTAGTCTACGCATATATAAGTTGATTGTAAATGCTCATGTTTTGTGAGTTTTGCAAGCGTGAATAACTAACGTAGTCAGTCTATTTAGATCCTTGTTTATCGATGCTTAATGACCATGACTAACTAACGTCCTTGTCCTTGCATTTCACTATATAAGAATGTAGTAGTATTCAATGCCAATCAAGATCGAAAGTGGTGGAATGCTCGAAAGGATAGACTTTTCCTCTTCAGATTATTGCAACCCGGTTCTTCAGTTCGGTGGGCCGAATGAGATTGAATTGGCAGGAAACTTGTAACCTATGTATAATGATATGTTAGATAACTCACTCTATTTTAGATTCATAACTCATCATGTCCAGTCTTGTACATTTGATATTTTGACACAACAAACATGAGACTGGAGTCAAATTCATTTTAATTGATTACAACCTATCTCATCCAGCTTACTAAACAAGACCTTAATGTAACTTCAATAATAATATCGCTTGTAATCGTTGCCAATAAAGCTCAAACTGCAACCCATATTCTAGTTTCCAACCCAACTCAATTCGAACATCACTTGGGTGGGCTTCTAGTTTGATCAGCAGTCTTCAAAATAGTGGGGTTCCAGTTGGTCTAGGCCCTCTAAGATTGTATCAACTTGGGTTAGGCCGAACTGGCAAGATTGGGTCAAGTTGCCTTCCCAAACTGCATGCATATACAGTGTCGTATCACGACCAGAAAAAATAAAGGAAAACGCCATGTCGTATCCGTTTTGCTAAAGTATTTGGTAAAGGGTAAGGTAATGATAATCAAAGCAAATATTAGTTGTTTGTCCCTTAATTATGTGATACCTTTTTTGACAAAGTTTGCACCGATTGATAACGACATGGACACGTGGCTACGTGGACAGAATATATACCTTCACTTTTTCTTTTTCTTTTTTGCCCCTTGGTAGAAATAGGAGGTAAACAGATAATTTAGATAATCCGTGCCTCCCTTTGTGGCTTTTAAGATTATAATGATAACAAAGTTTAATTCGCCCTCAGAAGGTGGTCAAGCTTCATGTAAAGAATTTAAGAAAAAGTATGGAATACTGGGAGTTAGCAGAAGAGTTGATCCAAAATTGAGCGCAATAACGTTTTATAATTTATATAGCCGACTCTCTTAATGGGATAAATCTTGGTTGTTATTATTGTGTTGTTGTTGTAGGTGGTCTAACCAACCTCACAAAAATCTGGACCTTTAAATCACATCCAACCCTATCTTGGTCTTATCTTTGTGAGCAAGTGGCATTATACGGCAACTCAATCTAAGATTCACTCAAGAGACAAGAGTGAGTAAGATAATGATTTCGAAATTACCTTTCGTACAATAAAATAACAAAATTCATGTAATTTTCAACTACATTGTTCACTCTTATTATGATCTACGAATGCATTATTTTACGCAAATTAGTAAATTCACTTAATTGTGTGACAATTGCATTAAAAAGGAAAATTTTAACGAAAAGTTTCGGTATTGATCACTTTAAAGAAAAACCACATTTTTACACTAAAAAGTCAATCCTGATACTATTCATTTTACCCTTCCTTTTGTCTTTATAGTTAAAATTTAAAAATTTTCAAACCATTTTTAATATTTTTTTTTTAAAAAAAAATCCTCAGACCTTATGATAATGTTCTTGTTTTGTGAAGAATTATTTAGTAGATTTTGTTCTGACAATAACTGTTCAAAGATAATGATTTTGTTTTCTCATTTAATTCGCATACGCACCATGTACAAAGAGAGCAACCAAAGTGACATGTTAACGGCCGCACAAATAAACCAACTCTGAACGGTCGTTAAGTCTTTCTCTCTCCCGTCAAAGTCGTACCACCCCCCGTTTCCCACTCTCTCTCTCTCTCTCTCTCTCTCTCTCCTCCTCTTCTTTTCCGACCGTTTCTCTCTCTCTCTCTCTCTCTCTCTCTCTCTCTCTCTATCTGAGATTCTGAGTACAGAAACAAAACAAAACAAAACAAAAGTGATT